AGACGGCATGCCCTCAGCAGCTCGCCGGAATTATCGGCGTAGATGTTCTTCACCTCATCGTCAGCGGCAATGGCGCTCTTGTGCTTCGCAGGATATGCCACGATGGCCCCTGTAAACTTATCCGGCGCGACCCAGGCGTACATGTCGCCATATTTATAGGCGGCGTCGTCTGCAGCAAGGACAATGCGGTCGGCGGTCAGGGCCTCACCGAATCGTTTGGGTACGAATGCTTCGTACTGGGCGTCTTCCTCAGTAGGATTGATTGGCGGGCTGGGTCGGCGTCGGCGTCGGCATGGTGCATTGTGCACCAAGATGCGTGCACATATCACAGTCAGGACGCTCTGGGCTGTGAGCGACGCAATGCGAGGGGTCGATGGGCGGCCGCGGTCGGCCAGGTAGCGTCGCGCCACGAGTTGGCGGCGCAGACGCGGGCGTGCCCACCTGCGCTAAACCACCGGACATCTGATCGCTCAAGTGGCGCGGATGCAGGCGCGCCCACCGGAGCAGGAGCGCAATGCGCCATTTCGCTCACTGGGGGCGTAGATGCAGATGCGCCCACCGGCGCGATGGCATCATCCACGCAACGTGCACATCAAAGAGGGCACGATGCGTCGGGCCAATTCTGTCGCGCACGTTGCGAACGTCGCAATGCAGGTGGTGCGGTGCGCAACTCAGGCGGTGAAATCCGTTGAAGATTCATAAGATCGAGTTCTGGAATGCGGCTATTGACAGCAATCTTGCACCATTGACCATGTGGGTCCTGTAGTAAGTAACCAAGTTGTGGATCCCAGATTTGTCGGCAGCCGTCGCCCTGCACCAATTGCCCCACAAATAATACCGATGGGCAGTCATCCAGCGCAAATGATGAGCTGGACAACCCGATGCGCGGTAGCTTCAGGTGGGTGCGTTCGTCGGCGATCCTGTCGCGGTTGGCTGTCTCAAATATATGTTCGCGCCCTCGGTGCACGTCAACGGCTTCGTGCGGTTTCAAGTCGGCCTTAACTGGGATGTGATTGGTAGAGCCACTATCCAAGACGCGTCCGCGACAACGCTGCATTGGGGCGCGTCATAGATGTAGACTCGGGCGCGGGCGCTGCCACCGACGCAGCGCCGCGGTGCGATGGCGCGACGGGCACCGCTGGAAGTCTGGGAGGCGTCATGAGCTCATCATGCTATCGTTGAGCCTCGGTCCGACAGTCGCGCAGCGCCTGCGCGCTGTCTTCCAGGCGCCGATCAAGCAACGGATCGGGCACATCAACAGAAGTCGTCGATGAAACCGCGCAGGTGATGATGCCAACGTTGTCGAGGTCGAAACGTAAGTGCCACGAGTGCTGATTGGCGGTAAGAGGCGCCCTTTGGCGGGTCACACACGTTCGATCGCGTCGTCCCTTGTAGCGCGCTGCTGCAGGAAAACGGTTCCGATAGCGGGTCGACGGTTGTCGGCTGCAGCCGCGGGGCGCGGATCGGCCTCCGCCCCCGTCGCTCCTGGCGGGGGAGCGTCCTCGATGATTGGCGCGGTCGCTGTCCCGCGACGCTAATCGGGAGCGTCGCGGGGGCCGCGGCGACCGCTGCGAGCCCCCGGACAGCGCGAGCCCCGCCGCCCCCTCGCGCGCAGGGGGCGGCGCTCCTCGGCGCGACCAACGCGCGCCCCCCGGACTTCGAGAGCCCTGCCGCCCCCTGCGCGGGGAGGACATGTGCCCCCCCGCGCGCCTTGGAGAGCGCGCCCTATCACGGCTGTCTTGGCCGCGTCTCCGGCTGGGGCTTCGCCCCGGGGTCTTCGCGCCAGGATCGACGCGCGCGAAACGGCAGCTGCTGCCACACTTGCAATGCAATTTTGGGTATACATGCAAGCTGCATTTGGCAATGCGTGGATATTTGCATCGATCTTGACGCGGGCAAGAGCCGAGCCTTTTTCCTTGGGCGGTGGCCGGGGGCCTCTGCCTGCAGAAGGTCGTCTTTCGCGGGCGTCTCCGCCAGCAGTCGATGCTCGCCGCGGGGATCGCGGTGCGGGGCGGTCGCCAGATCCCGCGCGCAGCAGCGCGCGCCGTTCGCCTTCCCTGCAGCGTCCTGATTTTAACGCAGCGCAGACAACTGTCTCGTCACGAGTCTTTTCGTTCTTGAGGTTGCGCCAGCTGCGTTCGAGTCGACGCAGCTCAATGTTGGCCAGAACGCGCTCTCGGATCCAATCGCACGTGCGATTGGGGTCGTTAGATGACATCTGGATGTCATCGCGCATGTCCCGCTTCGCTCATGGATGCCCGCGGATCTGAGCTCGGAGCAATGATTCATACATGCGTGTATCCAGTGGCTCGCGGCATTCCAAAATTAGATTGCCCCGGTCCAGCATGAACTGCAGGCGTTTAAAATCATGCATCGCGTCGTCGACGTCAGTGACCTTGTAGGAATACAGCACAGCCCAATATCTTGCTACCCTTCCACACGCGGCTGGCCCCGCGCTCTTGAGCTGCGGGGGTTCTTCATTCGGCAGCGGAGCTCAGCATTGAGAACTGCCGAGAGCCCAGCAGCAAGTTTGCAATCGATGCTTTCGAAGTTGCCGCTGTCTTGGAGGCCCTCAAAAATGGCGTCGGGTTGTTCGGCAATAAGGGAATGCGCATGCCTTGGCAGGGCGTCTGGTAGCGCTGCCAAGCTTTTTCCTGACCGTGCGCTGCCTCTCCTGTAACTGAATAACGCGCGGCATTTGAGGGATGCACACAGTGTCCAATTCCTTGATTGGGGCGGTACCACCGAGAGAAAACTGCGAGAGGTTCTGCCATGGCATCAATGGAGTCGGCGATGGTGCACGCGCGGGAGAGACGCGACGCGTCTGAGCTGAGGCCGTTGCAGAGCTGCGCCCGGCGACGCACGTCGCGCTTGTCCAGCGCGGATGTTTCCATCGGCGAGGATTGGGGCGCAATCGTCGTGAGGTTGTGGAGGCGGGGTCGGATCGCGGATCTGAGCGTCGCCCGCGCGGGCCGTGATGGCGGCTTCAGTTGCTGCGGCGTCAGTCTGCATCTTCTCGACGCTCTGTCGTAGATCGCGTATCTTGTCGTGTCGCGAGTTCGCTGGGAGTGCCGGCCCAGCGGATGCTCTGCGTCCTGGGTGCGTCGGTTGTGCGCTTCGCGCTCTCGTTCCAAACGGGCGAATGTATGCTCGGCCCGTGCCTTTCCAGCGTCTCTTTCGCATGGGGACCTGGGTGAGTCGCAACTGCGCGCGGTCCGCCGCCTTCCACGCCTCGGCCAATCGGGCTTCGAGGGTCGCGAACTCGCCAGCCGGAGTCGGCGCGCCCAGCTGGCCAGTCAGGGCCCGCGCAACGCGCAACTCAGCCAGCGCAGCCTGCATATCAAACAACTGCTGCTCGACCGTGGAGACTCGGCTCTCAAGCGTCGGCGCGCGCCCCTCCGAAGCGTCAAGACGTCGAGCAATAGCCATCTCAGCACTGCGCAGCTTGCCGCGCAACTCGGGCGGGAGCGGGGCACTTCGGGAGCCTCGGTCGGCAGTGGTCACTTCAACCTGAGCACGACGCGCATTGAGGTCGTCTCGGAGTTGTTGAGCCGTAAGTCTGCGCACCTCCATAGCTGGGGCCTGCCGCGCTGTCAGGGGCTCATCGCGCAGGGCCCCGACAGCAGCAGCGCCCGCGCCCCTGACGCTCACCAGCTGGGCCGCCTCTGCGAGGGTGTAGTCGTGGAGCGCCTGAACTGCAGCGGGGTCGGGACCTCGACCTCGGCGTGGCCCCACGCGGCCGACTGGATACTGGGCCTGGGCGATGATCGATCTCCAGCGACCCGAGCGCCGACGTGGGCAAGGGCGTTATGGAGCTCTTGCTTCGGCGCTGCTGTCTGAACATCAAGACCCGACAACTGTTGGATCGCGCAAGTTGCAGACCGATCTGTAAGCTATGCCAGATCACTGGCTGAGGGCGACGCACGCGGTGCGATATCGCGCCGCAGGGAGCTCTGCCGCGAGCGCCTCTGGGAGGGGCTGCGGCTCTTGTCCCTGTTGGGAGACTGGATATGATGCCGCTCAGGGGTTATTCGCTGAAATGTCCGCCCAGCGCGATCTTCAACGACTCGCGCATTGGTCTGATGCGGAAACCACGGTGGGACTCATGGGACGCCGTGCGCCCCAGCGGCGGTACTTCGCGGAAGCGTTCTAGGGAGACGTTTTACTGGCGCCGCCACCGCGAGCGCTTCCACCGGCGAAGGTTGGAGAAAAAGGGGGCGAGGCGAATGAAGCGGTGGCTCAGACGGCAACTACTGGTGTTTCCACCGGCGAAGTTCCGAACTAAAGGTGGCGCCAGGAGAAATATCATACGCATCAGGCGCCGAGGCATACTGTCCGAACCCAGGCGTGTGACAGGGCGCCGGCGCGGGAGGCGAGTCGGAGTCCATCAAGTCCCCGAGTGCCGCCTCGAGCGCGGCGGCGCTGCCGTCGCGAGGGGGGGGGGCGGTATCGCCAGTCCTCTTGTCCTCCACGTGGCTTCGTGACGCCCGCGCTCCGTCGAAGACCCTGCGCGCATGGACGCACTGGTCCCCGTGGGGTCCAGCGCCATGCGGCACAGTCGAAGACGAAGCGGGGCGCCACAACGGGGAGCGAAAAAGAAGAGGCTGATAACCTGTGTATGTAGGTTGACGACCGAAGAGTCGAATCTAATAGATTTCCCGCAAGTAGAGGAAGGAGGGGGAGAAAGTCGCGAACCATTTTCCCATGCGCCGCGGACCGGCGGCGATGGACCTTATACCAGTACCTTGAGCCAAGACGTCGGCGGTAGATCATGATATCATGGTGATCTGAGCGGACGTCGCACACTTTCCCCCCGTCGCCCTCCTCTCATCGCTCTTTCCCTCCTCCCCCGTCCCCCCCCCCTTCCTCCTCCCGCCTCCCTCCCGCCGCCCTCCTCCCTCGCCCCCTCTTCCCTCCGCCCTCGCCCCCCCTCCCTCGCCCTCCCTCGACCTCTCGCTCCTCCCCGACCTCCCCCCACCCCCTCTGGGAGAGCCGACGGCCTCCACGCGGACCATGCCGGCCAGCTTCTCGACTGCCTCGGTGATGGGCCGCAGGTCGACCTGGCGGTCCGACCACAGGGCGCCCCGGCGTGCGCCGACGCCGGCCCGCGGCAGGCTCGTGCCGCGAAGGCCCTGCGCGCTGGCCTCTGACACCGCGCGGGTCGCCCGAAGGGGAGACCCCCCTAAAAAAAAGAAGAGAAACGCCAGGGATGGTCAGGGATGGTGGTCCAGCGCCGACCCGAGAATCTCGCGCGGAGCTCCGAGAGCTTGTGTTTATGCCGTGTTTTGGTCTTTGAGTTCGGCCTCCATGAATCGCGGCTCCCCGACGGCGCAGACTTCTCGATGTCGGCCGACCTGTGGGCCACTGGGTGGCGGTCCGCCGTGGACGCCGGCGCTGGGGCCGCCCCCGCGTTGACGCGGCGCGGACCTGGCGTCCTCATCCTCTGAATTGCCGGAGGCGCGCACGAGCGAGGGGCAACGATGGGCGGGGACTGGCATATGGGGGGGACGCATCGACCTGGAATCGGGGATGCATCGCCGAGAGATCGGAGAGATGCCCCCGACAGTGAATCCGAACCTTCCTGGGCGGGTTGGGGCTACCAGACCCCTGTCGGCGATCAACGGGCGATTGGGGGTCGATGCATCCCCCCCCATGCCGATCCCCCCCTATCGTTGCCCCTGAGCAAGGGGTGGCGCGATGGGTAGAGTCCCAGAACATTCCCGCCCTCTATCACGAAGGGCGCCCCCTCGCCCGGACCACCTTCGGCGCACAGCCGACACCACGATCAGGTCGGGCATGTCCTCCTACAGGCGGACCTTGTAGGAAAAATAGGATAACAAAAAAAGTCAAAAGAGCACAAAAACTCGCCACCTGACTATTTGTACTATTCTTGGATGTTTCTTCTGTAGAGGGACATGCCCGACTTAGCACTATGATGCCGAGGCCTCCATCTCCCGGAGGGAGTACTCATACTTCTGGTCGCGGCGCTGGCATGCAACGCAATGCAATGCCATGAAATCTGCGCGTTGGGACGGTGCGCCATGCTTTGCTCTGCTATGGTATGACATGTTGCGCCGTGCTATGACGGTGAAGTGACAGTGTTACGTTATACCATGTGCGATGCAGTGCTACGCTATAAAAGAAATGCTATGCTACGCAATACCCACGGCTATGCCAATGCGGCTCAAACTGACGCCAGTGGTATTGCGAAATCTGGAAACTGAGCGGAGAGCCAGGGCCCAAATGTCAGGGAGCCGCCCGCGCAGTCGCGGAAACGACCACAGGCCCTACGCACGAAACAACCAGGAACACCCAGGCAAAGCCCAAGCGGGGAACGTTACTGCTTGATGGCGTGAACGACCGATTTTTTTAAACAGGTGCGCAGCTCGCAAGGCCTTCACCTGCTCCTTCGTAAGGTCACTTCTGGCACGCGTTCTCCCTGAGGCTGGCTCAACCGTCAACCAAGCCCCGAAGAACGCAGCGGCACTCGGGCCGTGGCCGTAGGGCGCTCCTTCAAACCTGTTCGGGCCTCTCGGGGCGCTGTCGTTGGCCACGGCTGGATCCGCGTCGGAACTCCGGCCTAGACACGCAGAGCCGATAAGTTGTATTTGGAGGAGAAGGGGGAGGAGGCGAGCAAAGACGATGAAAAAGACGAGGAGGAGGAGGAGGAGGAGGAGGAGGAGGAGGAGGAGGAGGAGGAGGAGGAGGAGGAGGAGGAAAGGAGGAGGAGGAGGAGCAGCAGGAGGAGGAGGACGGGTCGCGTGCTGGGCGCACTTGATACGAAGCCCCACACCCACATCGCGCCCACGCACGACTTTCTTCCAAACGCTACAGCCGCTGATTTCTCGAAGGGCGACGCGGGCAGGGCGGCCGCAAAGGGCGGAGAGCGCCTGGAGGGCCGGGAGGCACGTCGGAAAGCCCGGGAGCGCCAGGGAGCACCAGGGGGCGCCTGGGCGCTTGGGAGTGCTTGAAAGCGCCCGTGGGCGCCCGGGAAGCGCCCGGGAAACGCCTGGGAGCGCGCGCGTGGGAATTTGGGGTCTCTCCTAAACCCTGAAAGGCGTCAGTGTGGGAGGTCGCTGGGGAGGAGGTGAGCGGCGCACTCACGCCGTGAACGGGGGCGTGCTTCCAGGAGGCTGCGGTCGACCGAAGGAGCCGCCGAAGAAGCCGCCGAGGGGCGGCGCAGGTCCCTGAGGGCCTCCGAACACGCCCGCGTGCTTGCAAAACCCTCCGGCAGAGGCCGACGACGACCGCTTCTCTTGGCTCTTGGGGTGTGCCATGGGACGCACAGAAACATACTAGTAGTATACACCCTAGTATTTCCTCTGAGAATCGGGGTAAGATGCCAAAGGAACAAGGTCTCATGTTGACCCTGCTCAGTAGTAGAGGATGCGGGATGAGACATCGATGAAACTACAAGTGAACCGTTAAGCAACTGCACTCAAGTATAGGAAAGGAGGAGGTCCGGCCGGCCGACGACCGACGACGCGCGGCGGCCGAGGGCTGGCGCGCTCCTTTTCTCGCTTGAGTACAAGATAGCTGCGAGATGGTACCGCAGTGTCAAGGTGTGGCACCGCAGGCAGCAGAAGAGGCAAGTGCATAATGAGGCGGAGAGGAGCATATTTACTCCCCCCGCGGCGGGTGTTGTAGCGTCCAACCAGCCACAGCCCGCCTGGCCTGCACATATTTACAGCCACCGGAGCGAGCCCAAAAAGCATTTGACCGCTCAACGGTGGTCGCCAGGGGGCTGAGGGCCGGAGAAACCCGACGAATCCCACCAATAGTTAAACAAATTCTCTCTCTCTCTCTCTCTCTGCCGAAACGACTTTGTCGCTCGGCCTCGCCCGTGGCGACTGAGTCGCCCGGGCTTTGCCCGCCCTCACTTCTTGTGGCCCCGACGGCGGAGACGGAGGTCTCGGATGTGAAGACGACGAACCTCCCGTCTGGTCAGCAGCCCAATAGGGCGAGGCTGATCTGTGTCCTTTGCCACGGCCAACGTAGGGAGCTGGCCTGTTGTACTTGTCCTTGTTATTGTTCTTGTTCTTGGAGTATCCCTTTCCTTCCCTTCTCGGGAAGTAGTACTTGTAGTTATTCAGAAACACAAAGTGCCACGCACGATCCCGGTTGTCTCTGGGATTCGCCCAGTATACCACGTCACGGTGAGACCAGTATCCATCCAGTTCATCATCCGCGTAGCGCGGGTAGTGGATCGCGGGGTTGTAGTCGCCGGCCGCGCGCCCGGCAGCCATGGCGCCGCCGCGCGCGCGCGAGGGCCTAGACCAATCCCACGTGTCCCTGTCGGAAGAATACCACGAGTACTCATCTCCTACCGCGCCGGTTTGACCGCCGGCAGAGAACGGAGATTCAGCGACGTCGTCGTTGGCCCGATCGTCTTGGACGTCGGGTCTTCGTAGCGGAGGGGGCGGATCGGGGCGAACAGCTGGGCTGGGCCTCGCTGTCGCCAAGGGGGCCCCTTCCGTATCGGCTTGGCCGTCGGAGGGCCCATCATCAGCGCCCCCCCCTTTCACGAGCGCTCGTCACTCGTTGCCTTCTAGCATGTCTGATTATCCCTTGCGGCGGTAGCAGCGAAAGTACCAAACTTGCCACAGGCACAGCGAAAGGGGCCTTCATCTTTGTCTTGGAGCTCAGTTGCTTCCACGCATGGGTATATAACCAGTGGATAGCTCCTTGCAGCTTCGCGCCCTGGCGACGGATATCGGCGCGACCCTGTCTGCCCAAGTCGTGGGCCCATCTCCCAATGAGGTCGTTTGTCTCGATCGCCGCACGAATGCGGCAATCAAGCGCGCATGCATCCGTTGTGCGCTTGTCATCGTCGCACTCTACGCCTGTGCCGCGAGCAAGAAAGCTCGCCGAAGAGTATGCAATATAATATCACTTGGCAGTGAAACAACTAATAAACTCACGAACAATCGCAATCACGCGAATGACGCGGAGACCCCACTCCAGTTCTTGAACAAGAATCTTCCAATTCCATTCAATTGTCTGCCGCACGTCTTCCGGAACATCGTGCGTTACTTCACCCGTCATTTGCAACCTTTCAGGCTCGTTTGTGCCCGGGCGATAGCTGGTGTACTCCATGACATTTTGAGCCGCCACATCAATGGCTCCGTTCTCGGTCGACGTGATGCTCAACGATCTGTCATCGCGATGAGAGTACACTAGTGCATGGGGCTGATCGAGATCGATCCTCCCGTCAAGCATCTGCTGGGTCTGGGACCCGCAGACTGCGGTACAATCAAAGGTCATCTCTACGTTTTTACCACCACCTGCCGTCACGGTTTGACCGGCGGCAGGTTTCACCGAACTGAGAGGGTGCTTAGAACACATTTTGTTGCGCCTGCTGACGGACCGGGAAGCACGACGAGGACGTGCCACAGAATTATCTGCCCAAGCAACCGGTGGACGTCCACGAGGGCTGGGCCCTGTGGCGTCCATAGCGGTGCCCTGGGCAACGGGCAACCAGGGTGCTGCCCCCGTTCTTGCGTCGCGCAATGTCCGAAGAGTTGGCACAAAAGTGTTCGTCGCTTGCATGCTGTGTTCCCATTCAATCAAACCTTCTATGGGTTCGACGCGTGAGTCCAATGCCTCTGGCCACCCAAAGGCAGCCAGAGCGAGACAAGACAGGGGACGCGCATACTGGTCAATTTCTGTCGCCCAAAGTAAGGGCCACCACTCGGAGAGCGGTGGAGCCTGAATCCCTTCTCTCGCAGCCAAATGTGCAAGCCATTTTATGAATCGCCTCTTCAGATGTTCAAGATGCTGAAAGAAGGGGCCGTGGCGCGCTGGCGGCTGGGCCGCGACGTGCTCAGGAACCCAGGCAGGAATACTACCCGGGCGGCTGTCTCAAAAGGTTTGACCCGAAGCAGCCAAGATAAGATGACGATCATTTGCTGCCCATTTGCGCTCCAGCTTCAGATTGTGGTTTATGTTGTTCATTACATCCGCCGAAGCTCTCCGTTGTCGTTTTATTCGCTCGCCAACGTAACGATCGCGCTCCCAAGGCAGCGTCTCAAGATCGACAACATGCAATAACATGCTATTG